AGACGGGATTTCACCATGTTGGCCAGGATGGTTTTGAGCTCCTGACCTCAGGTGATCTGCCCACTTCAGCCTCCCAAAGTGCTGGGATTACAGGCATGAGCCACCACGCCCAAAGCCTCAGAGAGCCTTTTCTAATCACGCTTTGTATTCTTTTATGCTAAAGTCTCTTTAAAATCCCTGATTCCATGCCAACAAATGGCAAGTAGAGGCAGTAAGTACTGTGAGGAATGGCGGGGAAAACAGCCTAGAATTGAAGGTGTTGCATGGACAGGGAACTGCTATGGCCTCTGAAGAAATCAGAACTTCCCCTTCACAGTGTTGGAGAATGACAAGCAAAGAACTTTGATTTATTTAACTTTGATTTATTTATTTTACTTTTATTTTTTGAGACAGAGTCCTCACTATGCTACCCAGGCTGGTCTCGAATTCCTGGCCTAAAGGGATCCTCCCACCTCAGCCTCCCAAGTAGCTGGGACTACAGGCATGAGCCGCCATGCCCAGCCAACTTTGAGTTATTTTGAAGTTACTTTTTGATTGTCAAATATACATTCTGAAACTGGGACAGGTGGGTCAATGTTTTAATAAGTTTTATATCAGCAAGAGCAAAAATAGCTGACATTTATTAAAGACTTTTTATGTGCGAGGCCCCGTACCAGGCAGGGAACCTCATCTCATTTGTTCTATACAATGATGCTATTAGGAAATAGGACAATTGTTCCCCTTTTGCAGATAAGGAAGCTTGGACTCAGAGAGTTGATGTAACTTGCTCAGTGTTTCATAGCTAGTCCATGGTGGAGTAAGCCAGCAAAAAAGCATTAAAATGAGGACCTTTGGGATTGAATCAAAGTTGACAGCAAAACAGTTCAGTATTTGTGGAAAATTTTGTGTTCAGTAATAGGAAAATCATGCTAATTAGTTATGTTGTATAAATAGTAGTAACCACCGTGGTGGCAGGCGCCTATAATCCCAGCCACTCAGGAGGCTGAGGCAGGAGAATCACTTGAACCCGGGAGGTGGAGCTTGCCGTGAGCAGAGATTGCACCCCTACACTCCAGCCTCGGCGACAGAGCAAGACTTCATCTCAAAAAAAAAAAAAAGTAGTAACCACATTGCGGCCTCTTGTGCTTGGACGTCTTCACAAGGAGAAGTGTTCGTTTGTCCGGTTTGACGTCTGAAGGCCGCTTAGGTATCTACAGCACCTCGGTGGGAATCGTGGTGCCCGCAGCGCCGCGCAGCCCTCATGAATGAGCGGCGCCCGGAGCACAGCCAGGCAGGCCTCTGCTGGGGCTTCGCCGCCCGGAGTGCACGCACTCTGCTTGCTCTCCCTGAAAGCCGTTGTTGAGAAGGGCGCTAAGCAGGCCTGCAGCCTACAACCTCCCCACCCCAGCGCCCCGAGGAAGTTTCGCTCCCAGGAGCCAGCCCAGCCGGCCAGTTTGGCTCTGGCGGACAAGTCTGAGCTGGACAAACAGCGTAGGAAGTGCCAGTTCCTGCTCTGCACGGAGCGATCCTGAACTCTTGGTAGAATAACCTGTCCGGCCCAAGAGAAGAAAAATCCCCAACAAACTGGCCTGACAGCCCCACACTGTCAGAAACTTGCTTGAGAGGCTTGGGTTCTTTGCCTGGATTTTTGAAATTCCCTAAACCGAGCAGTTGTGGAAGCACCTTCCAATGGCGCTTCTCTGACAATGATTTTGCTAGCCTGCGATTTTCACCAACTCCCACGGTCTGCTCTGCGAGGAGCCTGGCCAGCCGAGAGCCATCTGGCCAGTCACACCTCCTCTCTAGGCCTCAGTTTTTGTGCTTGTAAAATGAAGTGTTTCGATTCAGTGAGCCTGTAGCTTTGATTCTGAATTTGTTATGGGTAGAATAAACATGGTAGACAGCATGGCTAGAACAGTGGAAAAATGGCCTCTCAATTAAAAAGTATGAACTCATGAGGTGAAATCCAGAAGGGAAGCTGTGGTTATGAGGGCCTGTATTCTACTAACATGTCCCTAGGAAGGGGAAGGAAGCCCAGGGATTTTCCACACTTGAGGGCGGTCCCTAGACACATACCCTCAGCTGATTGAAGGTCCACTGGCAAAGGACCCCTACAACACTGGTGAAAGGTACGAGCATTTCTGGGACATGATCCCCTACTTTGGGTGGCATGAATAGGAGAAAAGAACATTGAACTGGTGCTGGGAGAAGCCTTTACACAGGGGACCCCCCTCCTTCTCCCTCCTCGAAAGGGGAAACCAAGTCCCAGACAGCCCAGGTGACTTGCCCACAGGCTTACCTATAGCAAGTTTTGTACTGAGCTCGCAGCAGTCTCCTATGCCCAGCCCAGCGCCAGAAAGGGGAGGAAGAGAGCTTTCGCTGTGAGTCACTTCTGTTTCTGTCCACCCTAGGGGATTTGTTCTCCGTGCCATCAGGGTGGACAGCTCACGGCTTCCGTGAGTGGATTTCATTTTAGGGGCCCTCGCTCCCCTAACCTCTGCCTTCACGCCATCCTGAATTGCCACAGCGTGCTAGTCCAGAAACCCCACACGGCGCACAATCAGCCTTACCATCCAGGGTGAGGGAGGAAAAAGAAGCTGTTAAAAAGTCATCTTTCTGATTTAAATCAGCCCTGGCTAAAATAATCAAGGGAACTCGGAACTATGGAAAGGTCAAAGGTTTGCAGGTTTAGGGTTTCGTGGGAACATGCGCATGTTTGGACCAGACCCAAGTGCCTGGGTGACCTGTTTGACAGGTAACAATTAGAGAGTAAGAGCTTGCCTGGCTGGAATGTGGCTGCAGAGGCCGGCAGGAGGATCTGGTTTACCTGCTCCACAGGTGGGGCCTGCTGGGTCCGACAGGCATGTGCACGCACAGCATTCCAAAGAATCGGTTTTCTTTTAAAGACTCACCGATGACTTCAGGGCACAAAAGGGTTGGGTTGAGCCCTGGCTGGAAGCCGTTAGCTATTTGCAAGGTAAAGAAGCAAAATAAATAGTTCCCTGAAGACAGCTCAAGGAAGAAACTGCAAAGGCATTCAGAACTTCTTTTTTCATGTCTAAAATGAATGCGTGCTTTTTGTCTCAAGACTTGAGAAACCCCAGACTGGTACAAAATGCCAAAGATAATAGAACTGAAAAGTCATCCCTCTCCTCCTCGGACTTTTTTTTTCTTTTCCTTTATAAAGAGGCCATAATATTGTTGAGAGCCAAAGACAGGCTTCTTGAAGGGTGATACCTTGCTTGAGATTGTCCAGAAATATTGGCTATTTCTCTCAGCGTTGCCGTAGAAGACACCGAAAAAGGCAAAATATTGTTGTTGTTGTTTTTTATATCAATAAATTGTAGATGATGTGTACATTTTGAAAGTTAAAAGTACTATTGGCCGGGCATGGTGGCTCACGCCTGTAATCCCACCACTTTGGGAGGCTGAGGCAGGCGGATCATGAGGTCAGGAGTTTGAGACCAGCCTGACCAATGTGGTGAAACCCTGTCTCTACTAAAAATACAAACATTAGCTGGGCGTGGTGGCATGCTCCTGTAATCCCAACTACTCAGGAGGCTGAGGCAGGAGAATCGTTTGAACCTGGGAGGCAGAGGTTGCAGTGAGCAGAGATCACGCGGATCATGAGGTCAGGAGTTTGAGACCAGCCTGACCAATGTGGTGAAACCCTGTCTCTACTAAAAATACAAACATTAGCTGGGCGTGGTGGCATGCTCCTGTAATCCCAACTACTCAGGAGGCTGAGGCAGGAGAATCGTTTGAACCTGGGAGGCAGAGGTTGCAGTGAGCAGAGATCACGCGGATCATGAGGTCAGGAGTTTGAGACCAGCCTGACCAATGTGGTGAAACCCTGTCTCTACTAAAAATACAAACATTAGCTGGGCGTGGTGGCATGCTCCTGTAATCCCAACTACTCAGGAGGCTGAGGCAGGAGAATCGTTTGAACCTGGGAGGCAGAGGTTGCAGTGAGCAGAGATCACGCCATTGCACACCAGCCTGGGTGACAGAGTGAGACTCCGTGAAAGAAAGAAAGAAAAGAAAGAAAGAAAGAAAGAAAGAAAGAAAGAAAGAAAGAAAGAAAGAAAGAAAGAAAGAAAGAAGGAAGGAAGGAAGGAAGGAAGGAAGGAAGAGAAGGAAAGGAAGGAAAGGAAGAAAGGAAAGGAAGGAAAGAAGAAGAAAGAAAGAAAGAAAGAAAGAAAGAAAGAAAGAAAGAAAGAAAGAGAAAGAAAGGGAGAAAAAGGAAGGAAGGAAGGAGAAGAAAGAAAGGAAGAAAGGAAGAAAGGAAGAAAGGAAGAAAGGAAAGAAAGAAAGAAAGAAAGAAAGAAAGAAAGAAAGAAAGAAAGAAAGAAAGAAAGAAAGAAAGAAAGAAAGAAAGAAAGAAAGAAAGTTAAAAGTACTATTTTGGTAAAACATATTTTTAAAAAGTAGGTAATTATAAATAAGCAATTTCTTTTTTAGTGTATAAAATAATAGATTAGAGGCCTGGCTTGGTGGCTCATGTCTGCAATCCCAGCACTTTGGGATGCCAGGGCCGGCAAATCACCTGAGGCCAGGAGTTCGAGACCAGCCTGGCCAACATGGTGAAACCCCATCTCTACTAAAAATATAAAAATTAGCCAGGTGTGGTGGTACATGCCTGTAATCCCAGCTACTTGGGAGGCTGAGGCTGCACTTCAGCCTGGGCAACAGAGTGAGACTCTGTCTCAAAAAAAAAAAATCAAAAAATAACAGATTAGGATAATATTATATATATATAAAATGTGTGTGTATGTGTGTATATGTGTGGATACATATATATACACACATATATACACATACATACACACACATAGACACAGACCCACCTCCGTTAACATGACTTCCTTTTGAATTCAAAAGGCTTTTTGATAATATCAGCTGAATTACCCTATATCATATTCATGGTTGATGAGAAGACAAAAGTCAAACTCAGGGAGACTGGACTTGAAGATTATAATGTAATAGGAAACACTGCTAAAACATTCTCAAAACTCTGAAAATTTCCAAGTAATTAATCTTTTCTTCTTTAATTTACAAAGTTAGTTTTCTAAAAAATAAAACCCCCTCTTCTTTCCCAGTGTTTCTTTTCATAGCAGAAATTGTCAGCTCCAATCAAATGATAGGTACTTTCCGTTCTTCTGTGTCCTCTCGAGGCTCTGAAGCCCTAAGATGCCGTCCAGGGTGCACATCACTGAAGTCCCAGCAGTGAGATGGGAGAGGCAAGGAAGAATTCACAGCTGGTGATTCCACTGAAAGCACCTCGCCCATCCAAAGAGTTAATTACAGCAAAGAAGAAGAGGGTCTTAAAATTCGACTGGCAAAAAGCAAACAAGCAAACAAAAACTTAGTCTCATTGTTGATTACTGCTAGTGGTAAAACAGGTGTTGCTGTGGCAACTTAGCTCTTTATTTGTGTAATATGAGGGTTATTATTTTACAGACTACTTACCAGAATTTATTTAAAAATCAGTAATAATAGAGCTGGGCACAGTGGCAAGCACTTGTAGTCTCAGCTACTTGGGAGGCTGAGGATCGCTTGAGCCCAGGAGGTTGAGGCTGCAGTGACCTGTGTGTACGCTGCTGCACTCTGGCCCAGACAGCAGAGCAAGACCCTGTCTCTCTTAAAAAAAAAAAAAAAAAAAAATCAGTAGTAATAATAATAATAGTGAAAAGTCAGAAGAAAAACTTGAGGTTACATACTTCTTACTATGTGCTATGCTGAACTGTCTGCATTTTCTCTTTGAATCTCACAATTCTGAGGCTGGTATTCTCATGATCCCATTTTACAAACCAGGACACTGAGGCAGAGAGAAGTTCCAGGACTTGCCTACAGTCATACTGTTATAAGTGGCACAGCTAGGATCTGAATGTAGACAGTTCATTCCATCAGTGAGAGTTATTCAACTCCTGCTCTGACTCAGGCACAACGCCAGTTCACGATACCATGATAGACAAGGTATAGTTGGTCCTTCATGAACAGATTAGACTTCATGAAGTCTAATTACTATCTTCGATTCCAAAATCTGTTCTTTTAACTATCCCCTTGATGACATCTCAATGGTTCACACACTTTAAATCATGTATTTGTCTTTTATTTCACTGATTACCATTCCAGAGACAATGACTTTCACCTCTGCCACTCCGCTGCCATGCTGAGACACCTTCAGTAGCAATGTTGTAGTGAGGCAGAGGACCGTGGGCATTTTCTAGGGCATATGTTACATTGACTCCAGGCCTGCTTTGTTTTATTTGTCTAATTAGTGTCGGAGCAGGGAATTCACGTTCGAAAGTCCCGCAAGCAGAGCTTACTATGGGTGTGAGAAGCTACTCTGATTATGAAGTATCTTATCAATGACAAATATTTGCTTGGCGATTTTCACCCCTTGATAATCAGAACTCGATCTTCATGGATTCTGACATAATGACTACTTCCTGCCAATCCCGAAAAAAACCAAAGCAAAATTAGCTTGCACTTTACCTCCCAGAGGAAAGCACCCCAAAGCCTTTTCCTTTCCCTGTGGCATTCCACATCTTCCCACGAAGTCCTGCTGTCATTTCCCTGATAATATTTCCTTCTAGTAGTGTAGATAAATCCTAAACGCTGTGTTCTTTGTCCAATCCATCCCTTGTGTGCCTTCGTGCAAACTCTAAAGGACAGACATGACTCCTCTGGCTGATTATCTTTCAGTGGTTATGGACAGGCTGGATAGCGACTTACTTGGGGTGGATTTTAAAAAGGAACAACAATAAATGGTAATAGTAACAAGTATATTGAGCCCGGGCACATTGGCTCACACCTGTAATCCCAGCACTTTGGGAGGCCGAGGCAGGTGGATCACTTGAGGTCAGGAGATCGACAGCAGCCTGACCAACATGGTGAAACCCCGTCTCTACTAAAAATACAAAAATTAAGCAGGTGTGGTGGTGGGCACCTGTAATCCCAGCTACTCGGGAGGCTGAGGCTAGAGAATCGCTTGAACCCAGAAACTGGAAGTTGCAGTGAGTGGAGATCACACCACTGAACTCCAGCCTGGGCGACAAGAGTGAAACTCTATCACACACACACACAAAAAGTATATTGAGGGCCTTCTGTGGGCTACACACTGTGCCCAACACTCTGCATGGCATTGTCTCATTTAATAAGCACAATGATCATAAATATGTACTATGATTGCAGGTAACAGGTAAAGAAACCCACTTGCAGAGGTCAAGTAACTTACTTGAGTCACACAGCTAACAAATGGCAATGCCAAGATACAGAACTAGAGCCATCAGCACTCGCACCAGTGTCAGGCAGGATGTGGAAACAAATGACAGCTTAATCTTTAGGGTTTTAAGATTCTGAGATGCTCTGCTTGGGACAAAACATACCTGAAGTGTTACCCCTTGGTTCCTCTGGTCACCACATTTGAAGTGGGAAAATTAAAAATCTGAAGCTGGTTTTTAAGAGAACAACCAGAGTGGAGAAGCTAACTCAAACCACATTCCATGAGGAACAGTTTAAGGAACAGAAATGTTTAAAGCTAGGAGTTGAGACCAGGGCCGGGGATCGAGGAGAGAGAGTATGCTAACTGCCTTCATGTCACCGAAGGACGGAGGGCAGAAAGCATAGGCTGGTGCTGTGGGACTCCAAGCTGGAAAACCAGACCAATAAGGCAAAGTTGGAGGGAGACGGATTTTGTTTCTGTATAAAGACACGTTTGTTGCTACTCTGATTGGCAAGTGGTAGAAAGACTGTTTGAATCTCAGTTCCACCACCGTGGTGAGCATTTGTTGTTTTACTTGCTGGAGTCCATTCCCCTTTATTCTGAAAGCAATAGTTTGATTTCCTTTTGGGAAATTACATGTTTTCTACTGAGGGCAGTCTTTCTTGCCGAGGAAACCAATCAAATTATGCTATCTGATCTCTCCGCAGGAGTTGAGCATGAGACCCAAGTCAGCCTAATAAGGTTCCTTTTGCCAGGACCTATTTTATGTGGAGTAACCTGAGGGTAGACAAATAGCTGGAGCTGATTCTTTCCTAAGTAGTCCCCTTACCAACCTCGGTAGTGGATCCTATCCCTCGAAGTTGGAACTTCCCACAGCAGAATCCAGGGACTGGCCATGAAACATTAGACGTATCTAGTAAGAGGGCTGCATCCCCTGGGCTGATGTCCACGCCAATACTGAGAAGGAATCACTAATCGATCTGCCCTTGGAGGGAGCTCTGATGGGCACCCTGCTTAGCGCCTATAAAGACTACCTTCCTCAGAGGATCTACCGCAGCTTGAATCAGGAACACAGACTCACTCAAATTGTTCCAGAAAGAATAAAGTTTATTGAAAGGACATGTATGCCTGGGAGCCCTGGAAAAACTAAGAAACACAGCCTCAGGAAAAGCAGGAATCAAGGCAGCTCCGTGCTACACTCTTTCACATTTCCAACTCCTCTGCTTACAGCAAAGTAGTTCTCTGTATATCGCCTCTTTTATCCTCTTTCTTCCCAGTTCAATATTTCTGGTTATTTGTCTACACATGGCCCAAAATGGCTGTTCAGCACCCAAATCTGTGTGATCTCCCAGGTCCAGCCATTGGAACTAACTTCCCTCCAGGTGTCTTTGCTAAATCCCTGAGAGAAGAATTTGACTGGCTTAGCCATTGAGCCAGACTGCATCACAGGTCCCTGGCCTACAGATGGGCTAACTCTGCCACGTGTCCTCACCAGGGACAGTGAGCTAAGCTGGGGAGATGAGTTCACCTGATCTGTTGCCTACTTAGCAGAAGCTTGGAACTGGTCAGGAAACACATAAGCCTCTCTTGAGAGGCTTCTTGCTTCTTAATGATGATACCAAAAACAGTACAAGATACATTCTTATATATTAAACATGTATTTTCACACCATTTTCTTGCAGTACTTTTTTTTGAGACACAGTTTTGCTCTTGTTGCCCAGACTGGAGTGCAATGGCGCAATCTCGGCTCACTGCAAACTCCGCCTCCCGGGTTCAAGCGATTCTCCTGCCTCAGCCTCCTAGTAGCTGGGATTACAGGCATGTGCCACCACACCTGGCTAATTTTGTATTTTTAGTAAAGACAGGGTTTCTCCATGTTGGTCAGTCTAGTCTTGAAACCCTGACCTCAGGTGATCCGCCCACCTCAGCCTCCCAAAGTGCTGGGATTACAGGCGTGAGCCACCGCACCCAGCTTTCTTACAGTTTTTAAAGAAACTCTCCAAGGGCTATATCCCCAACCCCAATTCTTTAGGAAATGACTTGCCTTGGGCCAGGCGCAGTGGCTCACACCTCTAATCCCAGCACTTTGGGAGGCCAAGGTGAGCAGATCATTTGAGGTCAGGAGTTTGAGACCAGCCTGGCCAATATGGTGAGACCCCATCTCTACTAAAAATACAAAAATTAGCTGGGCGTGATGGCAGGTGTCTGTAGTCCTAGCTACTCAGGAGTCTGAGGCAGGGGAATCGTTTGAACCCAGGAGGCAGAGGTTGCAGTGAGCCGAGATCATGCCACTGCACTCCAGCCTGGGCGACAGAGGGAGACTCTGTCTCAAAAAAAAAAAAAAAAAGGAAGTGGCTTGCCCTGAGATCCCCTACCAGTATATGGAAGTTTTCCTTCTGTGGTAAACATGGAATGTCAGCTTTAAGCAACTGCGTCTTCAAGTGTGTTGTGTAGAATTCCTGAGCTAGCACTGAAGTGTTTTAACTGAAAAGCCCGGTGTCCAGTTAAAGAAGAGGTGAAAGGGGCACTTTGGGCCATGGGGATGGGAAGAAGATGACAGTAGAAGTGAAGGGAGTTGAACAAAAGAGCTGAGGAGGAAGAAAGGCCTGATGGGAGCTGCAGGTCAGAGCAGGAGGAGAGTCAGCCAGGACCAGAAACCAGACAAAAACTGCAACTTCCACCTTAGGAGCCAGAATGTCTCGTGTGAAACTAGAGAGTACGGAGAGCCAGGGCATAATGAGATCACTGGGCTAGGTGAGGATGAGACACCAGGAATTGTGATGAGTGCCCACTATGTACCAGGCACACAAGATCTGTCTCAAGCTTGGAGCTGTGCTTACCTGTGGGCCCCTAATTGCAGCCTGCATTCAGTTTGAACACTTGTAAATTCTTTGTTACTATGGTCTCATGGCCTCTGACCAAAGCTGGTTCAGGAGGTAAGAAGGAGGATACATTTCTAAGACCAGGAAAATGTCTTAACTGCATTTAACACAAGAGAGGGTAGACCGCCTTAAAAGGACCCTGGGACATGCTGTTCCCTGGGAAGATCTGAAAGCCAGTCCAGAGATTGCCTGTAATTCACTGTAGTCTTGCTTTCCACTCATATGGCTGTGAGCTCTGGCCCCAGGGCTGGGCTTGCATCTTTCCAACTTGTTTTGGAATTCTCCTTTGACAGAATGTCTCAGAGAAAACATTACTACATGCTATAGGAGTGGGAGGTTTCATGGATTACCCGTGGGCCTCTGGCAACTGGACTAAGGATTCCGGGCCCAGAGTTT